ACACAGGCCAAAGAAGGGAGCAGAGTCCCTTGGACTGGCATTACAGACATTTTGTGAGCTGCCATGTGGTACAGAGACTTTAACTGGGTCCTCTGAAAGAGCAGCTAGTACCCTTAACTGATTAGTCATCTCTCCAGCCCCCTATAAATGTAGGTTAGAGCAGGAAAATAGTACTGTGATCTGATATTACGTTTTTTGTTTTCCTTTTAATTTTTCCTTTTTTTATTTTTAATTTAGATTTTTTGTTTGTTAATCTAACTAAACATCTTTTTTGAAAAAAAATCTCATATTTTAGCACTATCCTGACCGTGAAACCCATGAAGGCAAAAACTGCTTATCTTTTTTAGGATATTTTTAAAAATTTTTTTAAGTTTTTTTTATACAATATTTTGAGTATATTGTTCCCTCTCCTCCAACTCTCCCGAGATCTTACAATCTCCTGTGCTTTCTCTCAAAACAAACACACACACACTAATAAGGAAACATGATAGAGTGCACTAAAAGGCATATGTTAAGAGTTATGGAAATAAGAGTTTTAAAAAAACCTAAATTGGTTGGAGATTTCTTATTCTGCAGTAGGAGGTAAAATCCTTTTAAGGATAGGGAAACCAAAACCCAGGCAAAATCACAGGGACTTGTTAGGGATCACAAGGTTAGGGGTCACTAAACATTACCTAATTTCCCAATCCAGACATTTCTATTACACTACTGATATGGCTTAGCAGCTCGCAGAAGAAAAATTAGGCAAGATTTAGACAGTTACAAAATTAATTTTGGAATTCATCTGAACCTCATTTTCCATTACTATAAGGGAGGACTGTGAAGTTAATTGTGTACCAAGTAGCTCAAACAGCTTTTTAAGTGATTGGCCTATAAAGGAATGCACCCTGAGTAATGGTTAAATACATCCCACCAAAGATATCTGAGGTCTAGTCTGATCAGTGTAACTTAGATAAGCAGAACACTATTAGTTATACTTACCCATGTTTTTAAAGTGCTGATAAAGGTCTGCAACAGATTTTTTCAAGAGAATACAAACTAAGAATGTGCTGGCATTTATGGACACTTTCCAAGGAAGTGAGACCCTAAATCTAGATTTACATTATTTTCTTTGGGCTTTCCCTCAAGAAAATCAAATTATAAGTGGCTACCCAGCAACCACTCAATGACTAATCTGCACCGACATCATTATTTCTCATTTCCATTTGGTGAATTAGATACTAAAATTTAACCCTCCCCTCTACTATTACAAATTAACCAACTGGCTTTCTGAATTACACAGCAGTTCTCTGTTGTTTGGTTAGCATGAAGAAACCATAGACTGTGTTCAGTTCTAAGGGTAATGTACAAAAGAAGCTTAAGAACCTGAGAGACTTGAAGGCCTGCCTCTAAACCAGTAATTGAAAAAATGGGGGCCGAAGGCTAGATGTAGGCCAAATAAGAATTTTATTTGGTTTGTACAGCTGGTGATGATTATGATGAGGAGGAAGATGGAGAAAAGAGGAAGAGAGGAAGAGGACTACTACCCTCTTTAAAAATTGGATATTTCTTTATTGAAAGTACGTATTCCCAGCTTCTCTCAATTAAAAGTCTGGCAATACTAGATCTGAACTGTCATATGGTAAAAACTGACCAAACATAAGAAACAATATTCCCATTTACCTGGGACATTTGCTACTGAGGCCACATATCAAATGTCCTTTATCATTATCGATGCACTGCTGTTTTTCTTATAAAATTCAAATAATAAAAGAATGCATATTTTGTGGATAAGTACATATATTTTTAAAAAGTATGATCCACTCATCTCTTTAAAGCAATAACAAAGCTAGAATCAAAGAAATAAATTTACCTTAATCTGAGTCTGTTCGATTGACTTTTCCCATATCTGCTGATCATATGCTCCAATCTGAAATAGGGAGCAGGCTATTCAAATGATGCAAAGGCAATCTTTGTATCTAATTCAACCTCACAGAATCATGAATCTATTAAATGTGGTTGTCTGGAAAATCTATTTCTCACATAATAAATTCATACTTTCAAGGGCTATTTCCAAAAACAAAACAAAAGAAAAGGCAAAAAGGACTGAATCTACAGAGTAATAAGGCAACACACTGAATATTTTCAATTAAAGATCACCTAGAAGATATTTCCACTCCCTAGGGAAAATATCAGTAGGAATGTCAGAAAGGATAGGAGGTAAGAGACAGCTCAGTCAGACGACAGCAGCAGTCTGAGCCATGCAGATAAGAATTTCATTCTTGTCTTTAGAAAAAAAATTAATTTGATAATTTGCAAGGCAAAGCATTGCAGTAGTTTGTGTATGCAGCCTGGAGAAAGGTGACTTACAGCTCACATCCTGGAACCTGAAACTGCGTTTATAATGACTTTGCACGTCAATTTTTTTCAGTTATGTTGAAATATTATATAAAAATATGTGACATTACCAAACTTAAGGAAAGTAACACTATTCTTTACGGGAGTTTTTCTGCAGAAGTATGGTTTACGAATAAAAATCACTGCTGTTACCTTCTTCTGATACCACGATATGGCATCTCTCTCATTTGAGGCCATCTGTGTCTCCAGCCAGAGAGTGGGATTTCACTGAAAACGAAGGAAATGTCTCAGTAAGTCCAGTTGTTGAAGGTTATTGTCCCGTTTGGGGTATGACTTAAAATCCGCTTCTCTCAGCCTCTCTATCAGCTGCTCTTTCTCTGGCTGTTCGCCAGGAAGAAAGAGACGAGGAGGGGGTGGGGGAATGGACACAGTGGCTACCGAGAAGCCTCTGCACCACCCGGTGCAAGTGTGGATGCGGGAGACAGCAGGTACCCGAGCAGGCTTCCCGCGCCCTCCGCCTTCCCGCAGCCGGCTCACCTGGTGCCCGCTGCCGGCCGGGCCCCCGCTCCTCAGAGAACCCGGCCGGGCCGGGAGGCCGGGGTCGAGGCGGCGGGCCCGGCAGGCCGCATCTTCCCCCAGAGGCCCAGACACCGGCAGGGCCGTTACCATGGAGACCGCGGCGGCCAGCTCAGCCTCTGAGGCAGCCTGCAGCCCAGCGCTCTGAGGAGCGCAGCCTGCAGCCACAGACGCCCGACCTAGGCGACCACCGAACGGGCCATGGTGGAAACCAGGAACCAACTGGAAAATGGGAAGGAGGCCGCAGGGGTGCCTTCTCCAGCCGCCTCGGCGCCCTCAAGGGCTGGAGGCCAGCAGCCAGCCCCCGCGGGAGCAGCGGCGCGCGTCGTCCGTGAGGGATTAGCGGCGGCTAGACGAGCTCAGGGTGCGATCAGCCGCTTCCGCCTTCCGGCTCCGCCCCCGGCCGCCTTCCCGCCGCTTTGGCGTCCCTGAAGCGGAGGCTGCCAGCCGCGCCGCCAGTAACCCTAGATGCTTAACGGAAAATCACCTCAGAAACGACCCTCCCAATGCCCATCGATTCCCGGGAGGCTGGTCCCGACATTCCAGAGGTTCCTGTGCGGGTCTGTAGAGTTTAGCAAGGTGTCTGCTTCATATCCGTGTCCCTCTGGGGGGATGAGGTCACAAACTAGTAGCAGGCACGAGTTCTCTGTTCTTGTGGATGGACAAATGTTTGTAAATTGGCGCGGTCTGGAACGCGGGCGGGCGGGCAATGGCTTAGCATTCCCCCCTTGGCTCTCAGCCGCTCTGGGACTTAGGCTTTCTGGTGCCACACAAGCCTAGGAACGGATGCACAAGGACTCCCACCGCACTGGGACTTTCCCCAAATCACAGAAAATGGCTGTAGAGGCCATTTAAGTGATTCAAGCAGAGGTCAGGAGAAAGGGCAGTTATACTCTGTGGATATTTGGATATATGCCCACGGGATTTCTAAGCTGCTCTCCTCTTTTCTGTACATTTTGTGCAGCATTAATGGCTTGTTCCCGAGGGCCATTGTCTTCAACTTACTTAAAGCTATGCCCTTTCTTGCAGTGGGCACAAAGCATTAGGTGATGTAAGACTAATAATAACAGCTGTCACTTGAGGCTGACTAAGAGGCCTTCTCCAACCTATAGGCATTCTTATAAGCCATAAAACCGTGTCAAATTGAAGTTTTCCATGATGTAAACCTACTAAAAAGTAGCACCCACAGGAATTATTTTTAAAAATTACTTCACCCACACATTGGCAGTGGTCTCCACTGCTTTTACCCCTTAACTGTGAAGCCATTCGGTAATGCTGAACATTGTAATTCAAGGCAACGACCAACTAATTTGTAAAAGACAAAAAAAAATTAAGACCTAAATCAACACCAATAACAAAAGCATTTGACTTCATTGCCGAACACACAAAACAGTTTTTCTATACTGTGAGTGGTAATTTGGGAAACAGAATTAGCAGTACAGTAGCAAATCATTTTCCAGGAGCCCTGTTCAAATATTTCAGTGTTTTATTAGGATGCTGCTGTATAAGGCAACTTTGAACCCAAAACAGCATTCAACCCCCTGCTCCCAGTAATGAACTCCCAGCAATTTTAGGAAATTAAGTCTCACCTGTGTTGTGGAGATAATTACTACCTACTACTGGCTATGAGACCCACAGACGAGATACCCTGAAATGAGATGCCTACTGAGCATTCAGGACAAACACCCAAAGTTTAATGAGGAAAAGAACCCATTTTGTTGTGTCCCACAGTCCATGCCCATCTGAAAACTAAACATCTTCATTATTATGCCATGCATTTTCCCAAATACCTACACTGCCAAAATAAAAGCTTACAGCAGGTCTAAGCACATGTAAATGACTTTAAGCAACAATAAGGATAACTGTCACAAATGAAAGCTTTATCTTTCTCCAAAACTAGTTGCGCCACAATCTGGATGTTTCTGACTTTGTCTTTAGGAAAGAGAAGTCCAAATTTTTCCTCTAAAGTTTAAAAATAATAGGGCACACAGAAGGAGGTGGGGGAGGGGCTATTAGTACTCTACAAACAGGTTCCAGGGAGGCAATGAAAACTCCCATGTACTATTCATTTTGTGATGAAACATCAGTAAAGGACAAATCAGACTTTGTTTATTAAAAAAATACTTTACAGGGAAAAAAAAACTATGCATTCCATTGTCCTATTTTACAAAGAAATAGCTTAACAATTTAACACACTTAAGACAGCTACAAAAAAGCACTGTGTTAAAAGGATTATTCACACAAATTTAGATTTAAGACTATTCATTAAAAACCTTTTAAAACACTTGTTAATGTCAATAAACAAACTAAGGCCACACAAACGCAAATAGTCCGCCAGGCAAATTATACATTTCATCTATATGCAAAGACCTCTTAGATAAATTAAAGCCACAGGAAAAAAAGTCTTAGCTGCCAATCAAAATGAAGTTTAGTCACAGAAAACACTATTACATGAAAATTTACAACATGGATAGAAGTAGTACATAAGTATTTTCTTTAGAGAGAATTGAAAAGTGCTATATTTTAAGAGACAATGGTCTCAACTACATGCACGAGTGGATCCTAGAAAATTTATGAAGATTTTTAAAATGGAAGGCCATAATATTTATGGATACTTGCTTTTAAAGCAACAGACTTCCGGGATGAGGATAAGTCCTTTATGCACTTAAGAAAATCACTGGTGGTGTGCATCTCCTCTACTTGCATGACCAGTTAAGTACAGCTACAGACTGTCATGAAAACATGAAACTTAACACAAATGTGAACCTCTGGCATGTGCTACTAAAAGGGTGACAGAGACTTATTAGAAAGACACAGATTCAGTAATCCTAATTATCCTCAATAAATACAAAAAAAGGTTAAAGGCAAATACAGATGAAAATATAATGGGCTAATATTAATGATAAAGGATATATTCACTAGGAATATGTTTTCATGAATTTGAGTCTTGTTCCTATATTAACTCTCCTTCTAGACAACATTTATACATGGAAAAGCAATAAGCAAAAGTTTCTCAAGTCATTAGGTGAGATCTTTATGCCTGTTAAGACTGATACATCTTTTCCTAAAGATCAGCAAATGATTTAATAAGCTCCTTTCCCCATACAAGAGCTTGTAGTATTAGTGAACTGATAGCTCAACTATGTGAGGGGACAGGGCACTTTCTAAAAGTCTTTAAGTAAAAATAATGTATCAGTAAAACTTTTGAGTACTTAATAAGCAAGAACAGTTAAGCCTAAGAATTCATTTTTCAAGAGTTAAACTTTGGAAGAGGGAACCAATATGGAGGTTATTATTATTGCTTTATGAATTTGGGACACCTCTCAGAATTGTAACCCTAACTCCTAGCCTGTCTTGATAAGTACAGAATGACCTCTGGGGAAGGGGAAGACTTTTATGCTTTTTAATGGTTACCATAAAATCATTATATTTGCTGTTAGGAATATTTGTTTATTAGGTCCTTTCCATAAGCATATTTTTAAATATCCCTCTGATCCACGAAGTACTAAAACATATAGTCACGTTCTGCAAGTAATCTCAAGGGTTGGCACAACAGATAACGTACCAGAAAGGAAGATCAGTTTAGTTACAACTTCACTGCCATCGCTACTTTACAAATCAGAGGATGCCAGACTGCTCCATGCCTCACTCCACCAAACCAAATAGTTTAATGATTTAGAAAAGTTGTAATCATTTGTATCGCTCAACTAGGACAGTTTTGAAAGCAGCAAGAAACTCAAAACTTCTGCTTTTATATTCATCAGTCTTTAAAGCATGCTATCAAAATCTAATACTCACATAGGACATTCAGAGTTTCCAGATACATTACTAGCTAAATGTTTCTTTCCATTCTATTGTAATCTAATATACAATGAGACTTCATTAGCACATGATTTTCAACATTTTTATATTCTTTTAATATGTTTATCCTGGAGGTGAGGGTAGACTTTTGTAAAAGGAAAATGGAGATTTGCATTTGATTGTAGGTCTTTGCAGATCCGCTGGTTCCTGAGTGATTACACACAGTGCTGGCTGTCAGGAGACAGTCTCCTTGTTTATAAGTAATGACCAGCTTAGATGACAGATGGCATCTGCTGGATGGCAAGTGGGAGATGGGGAAATCGGATCTTGGAAGACAAGAAAAACACAAATAAAACTTTTTGCGTTAACAATTTTTTCATGATTATTTTTAAAAGCAAATGTTGCCTGAGAAGAATTTTTCTTTGCACAGCCTAGTAAAGCTCTATGAAATTCTTCTGGACAGAAAAATAAAAATAAGAAATAACCTAAGCCCATTCATTTTGTGATAAACCTCTTCTCCACAAAGTAACAACAACAACAACAACAACAAAAATACCCTCAAAGGTCCCTTAAAAACTAGTTTGATAAACTAGAATTTATACACAGGATTTAAAAACACCCCTGTAATAATCACATTACCTTTCATACCATTCTAATTACCTTATTTACAAGGATAACTAAAAGCAACATCACTTCCAATTCATAAATGGTTTACATTGAAGTGTTTCCCTATTTATTTGTCTTCGTCCTTTGTAACAGAGAATACATACATATACATATATATAAGGAGTAATACAGATTCTAACTAATCACTGTAGTATTTGCTGATGGTTATTTTTCTAACGATTTACACAGTGACCTCTATACTCTGCTAATATGCATTTAACTACACAACAATATTGCACAAAGTAATATTTATAAAGATTTAACCTATTTCAGAATATTTTTAGAGAAAATTCATATTTGATATTTCCAAAGATGCAGCTAAGTTCCATGGTGACAAACATAATAAAGCAGCATCTTTTTCTTTTGCCTATGTTAATGCAAATATTTCAAATCTCACCATCCAGGAAAAAAAATCAAATTGCACTGTAACCAGGTAGATACAAGAATCTGGTCTTAGGTGTGGGGAATACTCTTCCTTTAGTAAACAAAAGGCCTACTGAGTTATTAACAAAGAGAAAGTAGAATGCATAGCACATGAACATTCCAAATAAGAAAAGACCACACTACTTATATGAAGGAGGCCCATTGAAAAACAGGCCTATATTGAAAACAAAATAAATATCCAGACCCTAAGCTTCAGTCCACCTGAAATTTTAGGATGGAAGTCTAATGCCTATTACTAGAAAATAGCAACAAGGACTAATGATGAACAAACCCAGATATTCACCAGATAAAATTGTGAAGTGTTTCAAAAGTAGATGCCAAGTTACAAAAATAGTTTCTCCTAAGTACGATGCTCAGATATTGCAGCCCTCATCAGTAAGACAGGTATGAATCTCTAACTGTGATACTGTGATCAGTTTAGGGAATGTATCCACAGATATGAGGATACTCGGAAGCAGAACAACTGGTCAACATTATCTCTTTTGCTCAAAATAATCTTCACAGTTACTATATATCCTAGAAAAGAAACTAATGAGCCATGGATAATGAATAACCAAGCATTACCTGTCTTTAGATTTTTGTTTAATTGAAATACCCACTGGGTTTTAAATAACGGACACAAAAAGACAGCCTTGATCAGAAAGTGCCATGCTTCCTCTTTTGCTAAAAACCAGAGAGCCACTCAATTTCATTTAGAAACTATGTCTTCTTTGTGGTTTATACTAAATAATTTGGTTGACCATGTACCAGTTGCAGGAGCCTTTCCTGCAACCAATGCCATTTTTACTATGGAAACTGACAAGGTGCCATGAAGACACAAGTACTAACCCATATCTTTCTACCACATAAAGCAAATATGGCAAGAGACAAGGAAAAATAAAAAACAAGGGAAGTGAATCATTTACCAAGTGAGAACCTGCTATATCAGAGAATTCTGGTTTTGATTTGAAGAAGAGATTGAATTGTTACCTCACACCTTAAAACAGAAAGTAGCAGCAGACCCACTATTACGTACTGTACTAACGGGATAAGATACAACTCTTAGCTTTGCATAATCTGTGTAAAAAAGATATGCTTGACATTTGTGGAATGTCATTTCTCTTTATAGAATTATAGGCAAGATTTCTCCAATAAAACTTAACTTAAGCCAGTTATAAAACTATAACTTCACATCAAAATTTAAAAAAGTTAAAAAATGTGTTTGAATATGTACATATTACACAGGAGTGCTTGGATGTTCCTGCAGACTGTGTTGCTGTTCAGAGTCCAGTCTACTTTCCACCTTGAAAACTGGAACAGGCTGAGTCTTCAGATCCTGTAGATGAAGCTCTGATGGAGGTGGGAAAGACGGTGGAGCACTTGTCAAAAGCTGCATCTCTCTGCACGTTTCCTCAGGTTCAGTTTTTATTCTCACACACTGGGAGTCAACTTCTAATTCCCTCTTTCCAGGTAAACCACAGTCCATGTTGGAATTGCTGTCTGTATTTTGAGTGGCTTCCACAACAGGGTGGTACTGCTTAAGCCTTATATGCCAGGCTAAGCTGCATACTGCTGACACTGTTTTGAACTGATGAATGACATTTCTAGGGATGAAGTAGATATCATTGTCGCAAAGCTGAATTCTAGCATAGCGAATTCCTTCTCGCCTCATTTGGTTTAATTTTGCTTCATCCACCCACTGTACACACTAAAAAAAATTACACGAGACTTTAAATATGTAATGATTCAAACAAAATATTCCAATTCACACAGGAAAACAGTATGGCAAACTTTTTCAACAAAAATCAAATCTTAAGAGAATATGGTAAGTGTTGAGAAGCCTTTTCCACATATTTACCCTTCTTAATAACAAAAGACTGTCAAGACAGCCTGTGGGATCAGTACATCTTTGAAAGAGCAACTAAATATTGGTTTCTTTTTTTTCCCCCTCAAGTCAGGGTTTCTCTGTGTATCCTTGGCTGTTCTGGAACTCACTCTGTAGACCAGGCTGGCCTTGAACTCACAGAGATATGCCTGCCTCTGCCTCCTGAGTGCTGGGATTAAAAGGTGAGCAGCACCACTGGAAGGCTATATCATTATCTTTACCACACATAAAGGCAACCTTTAATCTTCCCCATCATATATTCTGACATTTTGCAGTTGAGGTCACAGCCCAGTGAGATTACTAAGCTAGACTGCTTATGGCCAGAAGTGAACAACTGGCCTTCTCCAGCTATCTCAGGCTCACCCTCCATCCCAAAGATTTTGCTTAGGAAGTTCTCTACCACACACAGAATTTAATAAAAATAAAGTTAAATCCAATTATAAAGTAAAATGCCTAATAAAAATGGATCCAGAAGCTGTTTCCAAAGTCTCACAAAAAGGGTAATGAGAACGTGAGAATTATTACCTGGGAAACTGGAGGTTCATGAAGGTCTAACTGGAGTCTCTGTACAACATCAGTAAAGTCCTCAGCATGAAAACAAATCACATCTTTGGTTATGCGAGGTTGGTCACTCCTAATATTAATAAGACAAAGTTTAGGGACTAGTATCCACAATAGAAAATGACAATTTCAGTTTCTAGAATGCTACTTTTAGCAAATAAATAAATAAATAAATAGAATGCCTGTCTTCTAAAGGTTAAGAGTGCACTTCTTTAATCAGTTTTCAAAAAATAAAAGCAAATCCATAAAAGGCTTTTTTAAAAAACAAAAATCAGGGCTGGAGAACGGCTCAGCAATTAGCACCACAACTGTCTGTAACTCCAGTTCCAGGGGATCCGACACCCTCACACAGACATACATGAAGGCAAAACACCAACGCACATAAAAATAAGTAAAGCTGTTTAAAAAAAAATTAGGTAAGAGCCAGGCAGTGGTGGAGCACGCCTTTAGTCCCATTACTCAGGAGGCAGAGGCAGGTGAATCTCTGTGAGTTCAAGACCACCCTGGTACACAAGAGCTAGTTCTAGGACAGCATCCAAAGTCACAGAGAAACCCTGTCTCGAAAAACCATATATATATATATATATATATATATATATATATATATATATATTGTTAAAAAGTCAAGCAATAATGGCTAAAAAGATAGTTTTATTCTAGCCTTGAAGCAACCTTTCATGCTAGTGCATACCTACAATCCCAGTAGCACTTGGGGAACTGAGGCCAATTTTTAAGTTTTATTCTAAATGGGATACATTTACTGTTGTCTCATTAGAGAACCTGATCTTTGTTATAATAAAACCAAGCTGAGCCAGGCGGTAGTGGTGCACTACTTTAATCCCAGCACTCAGGAAGCAGAGGAAGACAGACCACTGAGTTCAAGGCAAACCTGGTTTATAGAGTGAGTTCTAGGACAGCCAGGGATACACATAGAAACCCTACTCAAAAAAGCAAAAGTAAGATTAAATTTTTAAAAATTTACTTATCTATATATATTACATATTAATGAAAACATACAAATAAAACCAAGCCCCAAGTGAGTGTAAAATAGTGCAGCCACTACAGAAAACAGTAACAGTACAACAGTTCCTCAAAATAACAAAACAGAATTGTCATATTATCTAGCAACTCTACTTCTGAGTATTGAATACCAGGAACATAAAGAGATATCTACATACCTAAGTTAACAATCAAAGAGTCAATGGTAGAAGTAACCCAAACAGTTATTTCGTGGATTGTGTGCACGTGCATGCATATATATGTGCAAACTGGACTATACTTGCCTTAAAAAGTAAATAAGGCCTGATACTTGCTACTACACGGGTAAACTCTGAGGGACATTGTTCTAACAGAAATGGCTGATTTAAAAAAAGAAAAAGAAAAACTGGAACTGCCAAGATGCCTTAGTGAGTAAACAGTGCCTGCCACCACACCTGACTACCTAAGTTCAATCCCTCCGACCCAGGTGAAGAGAACCAGCTCCTACAAGTTGTCTAACTGCTACACAACTGCTGTGGACACATCTCACACTCACAAAATAATAAGTGTAATAAAAAATAATTCCTTTTTGTCACTATGATTTGTCTTATATTACACTAATATTGTGTATATGCATGCACCTGTGTCTACACCATTGTGTGGAAGTCAGAGTCCTAGGGTGGTCAGGGCTAACAAGCAAATACCTTTAATCCACTGAATCATCTCACTGACCCATAGGATTACTTTTTTTAAACAGGAAAGAGGTAGGGAAGTATGCCACCATTTCTCTGCGACACCAGAAGTGGTAAGAGAATCCATAGTAATAGTTCTCATGATCTACGGATGAGGTGAAAGCAGCTTGAGATATCAGGTTTCAGTTTTGCAGGATAAAACCTTGAGGAACACTGATCACAGCATAGTTACACTCCTTCCATCATAAAAGTGTTTAGATAAGCTATGTTATACGCATTTCACCACAATTTAAAAATTGGTCTCTGATCTTTTAAACAGAACCCACATTTTTTTAGACATTATCCAGCCCTGTAGTTTTGTTCCTTTAACTTACCATTCACCAAATTGTACAGCCTTCAAAACCCCAACAGCAGCCGTACTCTGCCAGTCAAACCCCTGACCTACATGATCAGCATGAGCTCTTGTCCTGTCTTCAAAGAGGACTTCTCGGGGTTCACTTGTCCGAGGTAGGTACTGGAGATTTTTAATTTCATTCATTGATCTATAATTGATTTGGTTGTGAAACAAAGAAAAGTACGAGGAAATAAACAACAAAATTAACAGCAATAAAGTAAAAAGGTCTGCAACAATACTAGGCATAAATGAGGTTTGAGATAAGTACAATGATTTTGATCATTAGCATTGAATATACTATATTAAAATGATTAATATGATTTCCTCTTTCTCTGTAGACTATATATCTTTATTAGGTGCAAATGAAGACTCTGAATGCATGAAAATTCTCCAGACAAGGACAATATAACTAAGGCTTAAAACTATATCTTGTTATCTTCACTTCAGCTCAGTCACTCTATTTACAACTCTCAAAACATTCTACCAGGAGTTATATTACAGGCAACAAAGTGAGCATACATTTGATCTCCTTCTACATCAAATGAACTAATATGGACAGGAGGAGGAAAAATGGGAGAATGAATAGAAATAGACATGAAAGAGGCATGCTGTTGATTAAAAAACAAGATAGGAGTTTATTATATTCTGCTTTTTATGTGTTCAAACATTTTGAAATATAATGATCTAAGGATAACAGTAAAGGAAATTAATTAGTGAATTAGCAATAACAACAAAACAAATTTTGCATGGTGGAAAACAATCACAATGTCTTAACAAAGAATGCCAAAGGGCTAGGATAGTCAATAAGGAGTCAACAGGCAAAAAGGCAATGGACCTTGAAGAAACTGGAGTCAAAGGAGGCAGGCACAGTAATGATACGGAACAAAAATTAAGTAAAACTGAGAAAGGGCCGGGCGGTGGTGGCGCACGCCTTTAATCCCAGCACTCAGGAGGCAGAGGCCGGGCTGGACTGACAGCCTCCAAAACAATACAGAGAAACCCTGTCTCGAAAAAAAAAAAAAAAAAAGAAAAAAGAAAAAAACTGAGAAAGGGAGGCTAATGACTGTGGTGGTTAAATGAGAATGGTCCCATACACTCATACATTTGAATGCTTGGTCCTTACTTGCTGGAATCGTTTTGGGAATGATTAAAAACTGTAGCCTTGTTGGAGGAAATGTGTGTCCCTCTCCTCTCCTCTCCCCCTCTCCCTACCTCCCTCTTCCCCCCTCTCTCCCTTTCTCCCCCTCTTTCCTCTCTTTCCCTCCCTCTCCCTCTCTCTCTGGTTCAGTGCCTCCAACATCCAGAACAGGATGCAAATGCTTAGCTGTCTACTGCAAACCTCCCTCCATGACAACCATGGACTCACCCTCTGAGACTGGAAGCAAGCCAGATTAAATGCTTCCTTTTTTAAGGTGGCTTGTAGCTAACATAAAGGGGAGACTCTGCCAGACTCAGTACCCTTGCAGGAGAATGTTAAGCATTTAACCCCATGGAGTAGAGAATGGCTGCCACTCAGTTCTGCATGCTTCTCTCAATTTTCTTCACAGTCCCTGATTTTTCATCAGGCATCTGATTATTCCCTATGTTATCTCATCTATAAGCTCCTGAGGTAGAGATGAGTGAGCCATGAGAAATTACAGTAAACTCATTTCAACTTTCAAAACATTCAAAACTAGTTCAAAAAGAGACATAAACCAATGCCTGCTATAATGTGGACTCTATTTGACAGTATAAAAAGAAATTGCTCAGGAGTCCTTTGGGAAATTTCCTAGCTCATAAAAAAGAAGCATAAGAAAGAGTTTCTTCTATTGAATATAACCAGATTCAAGTATGATGCCTAAAACTTCTAAAACCATCTAACATACACAAAGTCAATATGAGCACAAAAGACTAGGCAAAAAAGAATGATTAAGTAGAGAATGGAAGTGATCTGGAGCATTGAGGCTTAGTATTTAGTTAGCAATGGGCCATACAGTGCCCAGAGCAAATCTTTGTAGAATTCTTGATATATAGGATATTTTTTAATTATCACCCTGAGTCAAAAATTCTTGTTTATAGCCATTACCATCCTCAAAGTTTCAGCCAAAGGGAAAAAAGGAAAAAAGAAACTGCACCTTCTTTTCTAAACACATTGACTTTGCCATCTGATTATCTCAATTCTCTAGACAATTGGACATCCCATTTGTTATCCACTTCTATACCTACTCACTGTAATGTGAAACCTATCTATTGCCAGGCTGAATGGAATATAGAATCTTCAGTAAATACAAAGATGTAATCAAAGTATGAATGGGTCACCAAAGAATAACCAATTATCTACAGATAGCAGACTGACAACAACCAAAATTCACAATAATGACATTTAAAAATACCAATGCCAGAAGAAAACATGTCAAGTAAATGTTTCCAAATAAAACCAAAGAGATCAGTAACAGAAAAGGCACGTAGAGGCTAGCGAGATGGCTCAATAGTTAGCGAGATGGCTCAGTGGTTAAGAGCACTGACTGTTCTTCTAGAAGATCTGGATTCAATTCCCAACACCCACATGTTCACAATTGTCTGTAGCTCTAATTCCACAGGATCTGACACCCTCATACAGACATGAACCAGGCAAAACACCAATGCATATAAAATAAAAAATCAAATATGTATTTTAAAGTTGGATGTCTGATATTACAAGTATATAAGGAAAGAAAGAAAGAAAGAAAGAAAGAAAGAAAGAAAGAAAGAAAGAAAGAAAGAAAGAGCACTTAAACCAGGGAGTGCTGTTTCAGCTAAAAGGAATGGGAGGATGAAGGAAGGAGGGAGGGAAAGGGTAAAGAAGGGCAGGGAAGGAAAGAGGGAAAAGGGAGTAGAGGAGACACACACTGAACACAGGAAATTGAATGTGTTAAAACTCGCAGACACAGAAACAGACAAGAATCCTTGCAAGGGCCTATCCAGTGATAACAATCGTTGGAAAATGAATCTCCATACTGTAACTAAATTATCAATTAATTAATGACAGAAAAAGAAATATGTAGAATATACTGACTCAGCATACCCTTTTTTTGTTTTGTTTCGTTTTTTGTTTTTCGAGACAGGGTTTCTCTGTATTGTTTTGGAGGTTGTCCTGGAATTCACTCTGTAGACCAGGCTGATCTCAAACTCACAGAGATCCGCCTGCCTCTGCCTCCCGAGTGCTGGGATTAAAGGTGTGCATCACAAACGCCCAGTTATTCTTGAAAATGTGTTAAGTAAAGGAAATAAACCTAGGAAGACAATGGCCACTGGTTGGTGGAGTAAAGCATTAGCTGGGAAGTTTTAGGTTTACAGCTGAGCCCTTCACACTGAGCAGAACACAGACCTATCTCCAAAGGTGCTGAAGATATAAATGGTGTATATACAAGAAAGCTTAAAGCTTATAAAACAGAGAAACAGTAGTCACTAGAGGTAGGGAAGGTTAGCAAAGAGGGGATAAAGAGATTGGAAAATGGAAACTATAAAATTAGATAAGAATAATTTTACAGTTAGATTACATGAGTACGTTTAATTAGAACATTCTAGAAGACTTCTATAGTGCAGTAAAGTGAATTATAAAACTTACTTATGTTTCAAAGAAACTTAGAAGAGTGGAAAGATTTTCAACATTAAGAAATGAGAAGTGTTTGAGGGGATAGAAATGCTAATTACTCTGATTTGACCAATATATACATTGTAGATATGTATCAAATTATCACACTGGATCTTATAAGATACATAATTACTATCAGTTCATTAAAAATAAAAAAACTCATTGATAGTATTATAGAAACTCTATAAAGAGTTCCTGATTTGGGGGGAAGAGGAGTCTAGAAAGATGACTCTGTGGTAAGAGTGCTTGCTGTGTAAGCAAAAACACCTGAGTTCTGGTCTCAGCATCCACATAAAAAGCCAGGCACGGCCACACTTGTGCATTTGTAACCACAGTGCTATGAGGGTGGAGAAAGGAGGATCACTGGAGCTTACTGACCACTAACCTAGCACCTTGGTCACTGAGAGACCCTGTCTTAAAGCAATAAAGTGGAGTGTAATAAATAGATCAGGGCATTAAACACCCTCCTTTGGTCAATACTCATGCACAGGTAGGTGTGCACACACCCACACACAAACATGCACTAATACACAGAAACACACATGAAGAGAAGAAAAGATTTCATAATAGTTGTAGGAGGGGTCACAATAAGGAAGTCACACAGATAAGAACGTCATTATAGTTCCAAAAGAAAGTAAACTTTCCTAAGCAATTAAAAAAAGCTAGAAATTATGCAAAAATAGACTGAAGTATACATCCTGCCTCAAAAGGGATAATAATGAGCTTTAGTAAAAACAGAATTTAAAAAAAAAGCACGATCCAAATATAAAACTAAAATGTGACATGAGGAAAGAAATCTATATATTCTTTCTGTGAGTGATAACACCAGGACTTAGAATATGAATTTGTAGCCTACCACCTGAATCTTAAGTAATTACATCTTAAGTAAACATGTCATTGCCATCTATCCAATTTTAGAATGCACCTATTGATAAAGCATTAAAAATCTAATGATGGTTTAAAGCAGAATAAATTATGTGTGAATACAGCTGACAGAGCAGGAAGGAACAAGTTAAAATGGGTTTCATCTAATTACGCAGAAAGTAAGTGAGAAAAAGGAACACCCATTTAGCATAGAGTGTCTGCCATAATTTTAGTCTTTTTCTCCTTTTTAAAAACATTTGTAATCATCAAACATTCATTTCTTTCTGGAAATATACAGCAAAATGCATATATCGTATGAAAGAATTTAGATTTTAAGATCCATCACCATAATAAATAGAAATTGCTGTCATCTAGTACTATGCAAAAGTTTTGGTTAATTGTCTGGTTTTACATACTACATTAATATATTGTGTTTGTTTGTGAGACAAGTCTCCTGTATCCCAGACTGGACTCAAACTCACTATGTAGCTAAAGATGTCATTGAACTTCTGATTCTCCTGCCTCCACAACATCTAGAAGAGGACTGCAAATGTATCTCATTTATGCAGTACTAGGGGCGAAATCCAGGGTCTCCTTCATGTTGGGCAAGTGGTCTATGAACTGAACTACACCCCCAAATTTCATATTCAGTTTTTCCAAGGTTTTCATGGATCATCGTAAGTGTCTAAAGTTATTTTATGATCCAGTAGTATTCTCCTGTGAGTTTTAAGTTAAAGACCAAACCATTAAAACTCATTTTTGAGCTCTTAACTGTTTAATTATTTACTTTGAGACAAACTCTCAATATGTAGCCCCCAGTAGCCTGGAACTCACTATGTAGATCAGGGTAGCCTCAAACCCACAAAGATCCACCTGCCTCTGCCTCTGCCTCTGCCTCTGTCTCTGGAGTTCTCTGGAGTTCTGGGACTAAAGGTATATGGCACCACTCACAGCCTAATTTTAAATTGCTATTTCTATAGCCCAAGCAGATGTAAACTATTTTCAATCTCACTGAATGGTATTTTCTAAAATACTAGAGTAAATCTATATTTGTTTTTATGTATGAAAGAGAAATATCTCAGCACATGATTTATCACAGATTTACACAACAGCACAACAGTACGTTTCACTCAGCAAACCATGACTTTCTACAACACATCATGATGACAGAGATAATAAAACAGTACCTAACCTCAAGGAGGTGAAAATTTATTAAGAAACAAAAATAGTAGAGCAATCATGAAGGAACCATGTTGTAAGGCCAGATTAACTTGTCCTAAACTCCACAAAGGTGACATTCAAGGTAAGTTCTGAAGCTTTATAAACCTGCTAGGCAAAAAGGAAGGTGAGAGAGGGGGTGGAATTCCAAATAAAAAGAACAGAGCAAGAGCAAAGCGCGATGGAAGACAATGGTTTGGAAACTGAATTTAGTGCAGCTAGGAGAGAATGAAAGCAAATACAAAGGTCCTGTATTATCAAAGACTTGTACAGACCACACTGAGGAGAATTTGCTTTTTTATCCTACAGGCAATTAGGATACAAGTTTTAAGAAAAAAAAACAATTAATATCTCAGGATACTAATGACCATGTAAGAGGTTATCTGAACTAGGAAACTGACAACTTGAAATTTTACCTAAAGGAATTCTTCAAAAATCTAGACAAGTTTCCAAACCATGCTCAGTTGACAATCACTTTAATAAGTCACCTACTAAAAAGAATGGTTTTGCTTATTTGAGCAAAATTCATGTTTACCGTCGTCTTTTGAAGGGTGACTTTGGCATATCTGCTGTAGGGATCATTTGTTCTCCTGGTCTCACCCACATTATAGGCCCATCATCACTCTGAGACCTACACTGTAGTTGGAGGCTGGAAAGTGTACCCCAGGGCAAAGTCATCTAGAAACCAAAGAAATGAGTCACAGTTTAAATTTTTAAACTATTTACAGATTATCCCCATCCAAATAAAGGCACTAAAAACCATCTCTCATGTGTATACGAATAAATAAAAGCCATATTGCAGAATAACATGAAAAAATAACTGAAGTATTTAATACCAATACTTTTCTAAATGTTTCTTCACCAACTATTGTATAAAGTTTAATTATAGTTAGCAAGATTAACTTAATACTCTAATACTTAAGTGTCTACTGAAATAATGACCAGAACATTAATAATCTAAATAAATACTCACTTTCAGAAATGGTGATTCTTCTAACATATCAAGGAACTCTGGGAAATAATCACCAACTTCTTCATCGACTGCTCCAACAAGACTTATCTGCCGCATAGGACCTGCTCGGTAGGTACCACAGCAGTATGTCCTGTTGACCTGAGATAAATGAAAGAGAAAGGGAAAAAGGATTGAAATACACTATGAAGAATGAGAACTGCGTCCTGTTCCCAGTATTAGTATTCCATATACATAATAAGAATTCAATGGTCAGTTATTTGGACAAAGTTAACCATTGCAGTCACCCAATCATACTGTGATGTCAGCCACAAACAGAAATATTCCAATGTGAAGGTCACCCTACAAGTTCAACACGTCAAAGGAAGATATTAAGAGAGATTTCACTAATAATAGCTATTTAATTTTAGAAACCACTTTATTTTGAAGAGAAAAGACAGAATAAGTAGTAAAACTGGCAAGGCAAAAGGGGGGAAAAAACCATAGCCACATTAATCCTTCATGTCCATCATATATTTCTTAGCTTAACTTTCACTTAAGAAAAGATATCAAGTTACCACACTAATTCAAACACCAGCTATTACCAGCACACAATTTACCAACAGCTCAAAAATATAAGTATCTAGGCCAATAGATGGGACGTGAATAAAAATAAATCACCTCTTCCTGTTTGAAAAGAGAAAAGAAAGAAAACCCAAAGGGAACATGGAGTGAAAAAAGACAGAAGAGGAGAACCTAAGTATAACCAAGTTTATTTTCATCCACATAAAGAAAAGCTTCTTGGCTTATTAGGACCTTCACATCTTATCAGACTCACACTTTTGTGAACACTAATGCTGTCTTCAAATAACTGCCCAAAGTTAATATTACTAAATTCTTACTTAGTGGCATAGCCATCAACAAGTAAGTAAATGTGCTATAAAACTACTGGATTTTGGACACTGTAATGTTTAGTGTCTTTGGAAAACTAAGTGAGCATACATAGAGAAAGGCTCCGAAACAACCACAACCTTACCGGTTTCATCCCTTTACTTACACTAAGTTAGGCCCTGGCATCGCTTTACTAAACTATGTTTATTTCTGAGTCTCAGCCCTCCCTCTAGCTTGAAGTTTCTTTCAGATCTCACTTAGAGCTGAAGGTCTACCCTCACTCCTATCCTATCCTAGTCCTTACACCAGCTGCCTCCCAAAGCTCCAGGCCTGAAACATTCAAACCATCAGTTAGGTCTACTTCTGAAAGCTTCCAATCAGATGCCAACAAACCCTTCGCCCCTTAAACCAAATTATAATTGAGAATCCTACAACTTGCCACCAAATGTACCCAGACATACCTTCCCACATAAGAAAACTACTTCAGTAATATCTGCCTCTAGTTTCTGTTTTTATCAGCTCTCCTCACTTTTTTTTGGGGGGGGGGGTTTCGAGACAGGGTTTCTCTGTATTGTTTTGGAGGCTGTCCTGGAACTCACTTGGTAGACCAGGCTTGGTCTTGAACTCACAGATCCACCTGCCTCTGCCTCCCGAGTGCTGGGATTAAAGGCATGCGCCACCACCACCAGGCAGCTCTCCTCACTTTTTCATTCACTTTTCATGTCACTGAATCTGCTCACATCAATTCTCCAAAAGAGATCACTAATGACCTCCCACAGACAATCCCAATGTTTAAAGTCATCTGTTGTCTTAGCTTCCTTCCAGGCACCCTCCTCTTGCTGCAGAGTTGGTCTATTGCTCATTCAACATATTATCTATGTGTGGCTTAAATTATAATTCGAATTTATTATAATACTCTGCTACATTCTGTATCTAATTCTCTAAATTAAACTGTTCCTCAGTCAGATCTGTAGGTGCAACTTCTCTTGGTCAGGCAGAGGACACTCAAATGTTGGTCAGTGATGTTCGAGAGACTCCTAAACATTATGTGTATCGTTGTTGCCATTGGTTGCCTCCCAGAAGTTGAAGATAAGTCCTTATTGTTGGACACCATGTACTTCAGATATAGGACCTGGAGAATCAAGAGATAACCCTTACCTGAAAGCTTCCTTCATGTTACCAGAAGGTTCCATGAAAGATTCCAAGGGAGGGAAACAACCAACTAGCTATGACACCTATGAACTACAATAACAGCATGGCACAATATCCCTAAGGGTGCAATAGCTGCACACATACCTTGGCAGTAACTAACAACTCTCTAGTTGGATTTAAGGCCTGCTAAACAGGAGGGAAATTATGCTTCTACTGGACAACTAGCCAAGTACATGCATGGATCTTGGTGGAAACTTACAACAACCACTTTATTAAACCAGCATAATTCCTAAATACACTCTAATATTTATCCTTATTCACACAGATAATAGATCTCATTTCTCATCAAAGAAATGTCTCCTTGCAACAGATGGAGAAAATTATGGAAAACCACAACCAATTAAAATGCACAGAACAAATGAACAGTGATGCTCAGCTACAACTTATACATCTACAACACAACTCCTACACTTCAGGCTCAGGGATCATAGCAGAAGGAGGGATGAAAACAACACGAAGTTTTTTGTGACACCATTCATCCTAGAAATGTCAGAGAAGCTACACCTATGGAATATTACCAACATGGCTACCTAAATAAGATCTGAATAAGGACAACATCAATAGACAAGGGAAATCGCATGGGGCCTAAACTATAGACCAGAGGATTACAGGCAACAAGAAATACTGAGAGCAGGAGAAATAGTCTTTCCCAGGGAAGAAACTCCCCAATTGGTTGACCAATACCAAGTGGTCAAACCTGAAATCATATACATACAAGTAACAGTATATGAACTTACCATGTTGAATATATATATATAACAGTTAAAGAAATACAGACCATGAATTTAAGAGAGGAGAGGGCAAAGAGGGTACTTGGGTCACGTTGGAGGAAGGAAAGAGAAGGAGAAATTTACATAATTATATTTACATATATATTTTTAAGTGAAAATAAAAGTACTCATATTTCATGTTATTATTTAAGGTTTAAGATAGTTACAAAATAGAGGTAGATATTAAAAATCAGAGTCTGGAGCTGAAAAAATGGCTCAGCGGTTAAGAGCACTGACTGCTCTTCCAGAAGCTCTTCCATATGGAAGTTAACAACTGTCTGTAACTCTAAGACCTAACACTCTCACACAGACATATATGCAGGCAAAACACTGATGTACACAGTAAGAATAAATAAATTTTTTTAAAAAAATCAGGGTCTGGATAGATGAATCCGTCATTAAAGAGTATCAACTGCTCTTCCAGAGCACCCATATTTCATTTCTAGCATCCACACAGCAGCTTACAACTCTCTGTAATGGGGATGTGACACCCAGTTCTGGCCTCTGCAAGCATCAGGCATACCATGGTACACAAATACACACTCAAGTAAAACCACTGGTATTATCTAAAAAGTTTAATTTTATAGTTAGTAAGACTTGAGAGAAAGAATATAGAGAAACAATGAGCCAAAAACTAAAGGGGGAAATGAATATTTGAGGAAGGACAAGTAAATAAACTGTCAAAGAGCTGGGCTGTAAATTTATAGGCCCATCTAGAAAAGCAGCTGGGACTGGAGAAAGAGGAAAAAAAGAAAACAGCTAAGCTGCAGCAAGAAGACAACTACAATAACCTAAGAATAACTTTTCAAAAATGGTCAAGAATATTAGGTTTGAGAAAAGAAGAAAAATTACCCAGAACACATCTTTACTGAAGAACTAGTTAAGTTAACAAATGGTTGATAAGGAAGGAAACATAAGCTGTTAACTTAGACCAGGTATTGGCAAACTCCAACCCACAGACCAAACTCAGGATTGCCACGTTGGACTGGAAAACATCCTACCCATTCTTATCTACTAACACACAATGGCAGAATTAAGTAGTAAACACTTGAGATACAGGCAGATACCATGTAGTCCTTCATATTAAAAGTTTATACACCCCAGATTAGAGGCAATATGGTCCTAAAATACTATGCAGTCCTTAGAAAAAATTTTAGCAGTTGGGTATGGTAGTGCATGCCTTTAGTCCTAGCACTAAGGAGGCAGAGGCAGAGGGATCTGTGAATTTGAGGCTAACCTGGTCTACAGAGTGAGTTCCAGGACAGTCAGACCTACACAGAGAAACCACGTCAAGAAAAACAAAAAGGAAAGAAAACATTTACCTACCCCAATTTAAAGCATTCACATGGGAAATCAGACTGTGTTTAAATATAAACTCTGCATCATTCACTGCAGTGTATCTATAATACATCATGCCTCACATAAACACTTGGTGAATTTATAGATGCTAAGGCTAGAAACAAAGTAATCAACCATTATACTCTGGCAAACAGAGACAGAAAAGAGAAGAGCTACTGATCAACACTATCACTTACATTAAAATTTCTAATAAATGCAATTTTGTTAGTTATTTAAATAATTAGTAACAAGTCAGACTATGAACAGCATTTATAAGCACAGTCAACATGTACCAACTGTGTGAATCTGATGCCAAACACGCAAACCACTAATTATTCCTAAGAATTCTTTCTTCTTTTTAGTGAGAATTTCCTGGGCATGTGGCCAGTGAGCGAGGCTTCCTGGCAGCTAAGTATACCCTGTGTTTAAGTTATAGCCAACAGGACACAAGTTAAAAGTGCAATTTTAGTAAGGAACCATCTTGTCTTTCACTTCCTCTTTCTTTGCTAACAGAGCCCTGGGTGATACAGAGCCAGATGCATCCAAGCATATAATAAGGAAAGAGTGCCTAAACTTAAAGACAGAAGGAGCTAGGATCCTAGATAAAGTGAAACAGTATCGCTAAACTCTGGACTGTCATAGAAGAAAACTTCCTTTCCTAGGCACCATATCTGGATTCCCTTTGTTATGGTAATTTTGGTTGGACAGATGACACTGGCATATTATAGCCTGACCTGTACTTAAGAAAAAAAATCACACTACAGCCAAAAGAGAATTATGGTGATTAGGGACTTGCAAACCATACAAGTGAGAAAAATACAAGTGAAAAGTACATTTTGAATATTAATAAAAGATTACAGGAGAACACAAAAGTCTTCAAATACTTTGAGAGCAACATGGCTTGTCTACCACAAAGTGTTAAAGGTCAGTCTTAGTGTGGTGATGCTGGGA